ACGCGGCCCACCGGGAACTGCAGGCCGGCCCGGGAGGAGCGAGACTTGGCTTTGGCTCGCGCTTTGCCGCCGGATTTCCCTCGGCCGGACATGGCGGGGGTGACGCGGGGAGTAGGGGCCGATGCCGGCAGCTGCCGGCCGGGAGGAGAGGCGCTGAGCCGGTCCCGGGGCCTAGGGAGGGGGACACAACACCGTTATAACGCGCAGCGGGCAGCCCGAGGGGCACAACCCGCTCCTAGGGACCGCGCCGGGAGCCGCCCGCCAGGGCTACAACGTGCCCGCGGGCTGCAGCGCCGAGAGGCCCGGCGAGGCCGGTGACCTGCACCCAGCCCAGCGGGTTACATGCCCTCGCCTGCAGCCTCCAGCGAGCCACACTCGAGGCGCCCCGTGCAGTGATGCACATGCAATTAAAATAAACCCTCCAGGGACTAAAACCCAAGGCACAGCCCTGGCCCTCACCACCGCACTGAGCCCGATCCGCCCTGCCAGACGCCCGCAGCTGCAATGACAATAATACTCGCAGCCGCTAGCGGATATAAATCAAAGCCCAGGCCGCCGGCCGCTTCCCATTGGCGGCAGTGCGAGCCGACCAAGCTTCCATTGGCGGGTATTCCGATCCCTGATTTGCATAGGGCTCGCAACGCCCTATGCTCGGCTTCGGATGGGGCTGGAGTGGCAGTCGAGACGCTGGCTGGGCCGCCTGCAAAGGGAGCTGGTGGTGAAGCATATTAATGTGCAGCAACAGCAGCTGTAACGAGACGGGATCTTTGGCTGCCTCACAAAGCGATGCACTAGGGAAAGGAGATTTCTTCCCCTGCTTCGGCTATAGTGATTCAAGTAGTCACGCTAGGCTTCTTTGGCGTCTGATCTGCTTCATATCAGGCTCGGAGAAAACCCTCTACACTTGAGTTCACCTTTCAGTCCCGCTGTAAACACCAGTCCCTTGCACTGCACTGTGCCCCAATAGCTCTGTGGCTGACGGCTGCGCCTCTATCTTTTGGTGTACAATATTCTCCTCTCTTCTTGCCCATATATGGGCCAAGTCACTTTGGTATTGGATGGGGGGGGGGGGAGTCGTCACAGGCAAGAAAAATATACCCCCCCCTATTGTTATGAACAATGTGGGCAGGTAGATTTTGTGCCAAGGCAAATGACTACTGCTCCTGTCTTTCAGAACAGGGCACCCTAGCTGTGTAAACAGGGAACTAAGAAGGAGGAAGCCTCCAATTCTAATTGCAAATCTAATACTGCCTCACTCTAGCCTTTGGCACCACTTTACCTCTCTCAAGCATCAGCTTCCACAGCTTTAAGACTTTCCCCAGGGCTGCTATGAAGTATTTATGTACATAAGGACCACATATAGATGTGGACCACTTAAACTTGAATAAATGTTTATAAAACATTTGGAAGGGCTGTATCAGTGTTAAATGCTCCAGTAGGAATAAACATCAGACACAAACCTGGCTGTATGATCCAGACTCTGCCCCTCCTGTTCAACTGTGCTATTTTGAGCCATCATGAATTTTGGGTAGCTCCAAACTCCAGGTATTGCTCACGAGCAATACAAGTGCTAACGTGGGTTGAAGCACACCCAATGGAAGGGGGAGCAACTGGCCATCAGGCTCCTATATTAAAGTAAAAAGAGGAATGTGTAGATTATCAGTTTTAACAGCTGTAAGTACCACCACTATTGGTACCTGCCCTGGTCATGCTGGGAAGATGGAGAGCTTCTGTCTGCAAAGCAGCAGGACTCTGAAATTAAGAGAGTTTTTTTAAAGGTGTGCCAACATAATGACACTGTAGACCACAAACAGAAGGGCAGCCAGTAGATCACTCTCTCCCTACTTGAGCAAGCTGTATTTCCCCTAGGGGAGTGCCACGGAAGAGCAAGCAGTCTCTCACCTTCTCAAATATTCTCAGTAAAATGAAGGACAATCAGCAAAATACAGAGGATCCCGCTCTCTTGTTGTAGATCCCAATTTTGGTAGGGCAGATCTGCTATCCAATAATCCTTAGGTTGTGTTTACATTAGCCCTTTTTCAGCAAATAAATCCCACCATTTCTAATATTGGAGTAATTCCATCACTGGGAGCCCTAGTGTACAGCAGCTGCATCATCATATAAATCTACATGACACAGTGGTTAAAACCCTAGTTGCTGCTGCTTCCACCAACTTTTTCTATATTAAGGCTTCCATTTTGCTACCACCAGTGAGGGAATGTGAAACTTTTCAGAAAAAAGGCTAATGTAGACCTGGCCACATTGTCCGTCTTTGATCAAACCGATAATGCCAATAGCTGCCCTTCTAGAAAAAGGCCTATTGTCTCACTGTGCAAACACCTAAAGAAAATCTCATTTAATTTCAGTCTCCTGCTACCTTAACAGGATGGGCTTTTTCCTTTCCCAAAACTAATAAACTTCCCTGGCTATTGGCAATGGGTTTGCAGGCCCCTGGTTTTAGTGCTAGGTTTTATACTCACATGTAAAAGAAAAATTCCTCATTCCTGAGAGATCAACACTAAAAAAACCCAATACATTTGTTTTCTAAGGTTACTGACACAGTTGTTGGCATAACTGGAAGTGGGGAAATTAGGCCCTGCAGAACTGGCATTTGGCTTTCAACAGAAGGGCTTCATTTGAAGCAAGTATCTGAGCTTCAGGATGAGATTATGGCACCAAGTATGTTCATTTAAAAAAAAATTAAGAGTTTCTGAATGGAGACACATTTGATTTGGAAATAGATGTAAGTTTAAAGGTGTTATTTAGAGATAACAGTATATAAATATAAATATAGTTATTTAGTGATAACATTTCCAGGGCTTTCTACCTGCAAAATGCTCTACACATAATCAGCCCTTATGAGTGTTAGGGGAAGGATTATTCCCCATTTTACAGATGGGAAAATTGAGGCAGAGAGGGATTATGAGTGGTCCAAGGCAATAAAGGAGTGAGTATTAGGAGGAGGATTAGAATTCAGGTATTCACCTCATGCCTCCCTCCATTAGTAGCAGCAGGGAGTTTTAAAACAATTATTAAATGCACACTTGTGACTTTTTGTAGTCTGTTCTCTAATGGTTGCTGTTTACAGCCAATGCACTGAAGAAGGACAGCAAAATCATTCTGTCTAGAGAAGAAATTACTTGGCAGAGGAAGAAATCTATTTCTCACTTTCTGCATGTTGCTTGCTGAAGCACATAGATGGTGTTGAGGCAACAGATTTGTGGTCCCTGAAACAAGCCCTCTGATTCTTCCAGTCTGGAATGGGACTGAAATTAGATAATAAATTATTTTGTCTTGAGAGATTAATGATGGCAATGATAGGGAAATAGACTGCAAACCTGTTTCTGGCTAGTTTACATTAAGCATAGACAAGGGGAAACACTAAATCCACCCAAACTACTGATCAGCTAGCAGGAGACATTCCCTAGCTCCTCAAAGGTGTCAGAAATGGGGCTCAATGGAGCATTTCCCAATGAATGTAATGTAACGGGTTACCGTAAGATTCTCATATATCTTGGATACAGTTTGATACTTTTAAAATAACTCACTTCCTTGCAGCCTGGATTTGGTTCTCCCTGTTTTAATGGTACTGTATCTCACCACACTCCTATTCGAAACTCCAAGGGCTGCTGCTCAACTGCCCATCCCCCAAGACTCTCCACAGCGGCTAAGAAGCATCTGTGGAGCTCCCTTAGAACAAAGCAATTCTGAGTGGAGCCATCAATCTGCCTTCTGAGAATATTTTAATTTGTAAATAAACTCTTACCTCTTCAGGAACTTTATCCAGCCAAAAGTCTTACAGCTCACTATACTCTGTGAAGTCGCTCTTTTCCCCAGGGTGAGGAAGACACATTATTCACATTGCTTGTGGAGTGGATGAGTATAGATTGATAACAAGTACAGAGAGACAGACTCACACAAGGACACATCACAACAAGCCAACTGATCGCTTTTTATTTTCTACAAACTACTACTTCAAATACAAACAAGTGATGCTCTCCAGAGAGCTCCCACATGCTAAGGGCTTTGCTCTAACATTTGACTCTCACTGTTTGTTCAAGTCCCAGCCCAAAGACAAAAAATATATACTTTAGTGACAATCCAGTGATCTACCTACTCAAAAGAGTGATTGTTCCCTCTCTGGATCAAGAATTCAGAAAATACTCTCTAAATCTTAAAATCCTATTAATAAAAAGATTGCACAAACATTATGGCCAAGACAAGTTTTCCCACACAACTCCCCACAAAAAACAATAAAGCTAGGAGTTATGGCTGCCACAGGAGACAGATTAAACCCAGTAATTCCCAGGAACCTGCTCTCTAAGGTCATGCTAACACATTAAAGCTTGTTTTTCAGTGATACTGAGTACCTGCATCTTCTATTGACTTCATTTGGAGCTGTGGGCACTCAGTACTTCTGAACATCAGGACTTTTTTCTCTAAATTTACCAGTGTTGCTACTGTCAGCGTGAGGTCTGGTGTAGACAATATGCTGCCATTTTACCATTGTGTCATGGTTAAAATATTGATTCATGCCTACATTATAATTTCCACTGCTACCACCAGTGGTAGCAACAGTGGGAAATTTGAGGGGATATTTCTAGAGTCTTCCATATTAATACCACTGGAGAATGGTTTTCAAAGCAGACCTTGACAATAGCGCACAGACTCCTTAAAGGCAGGTCAGCCTGTCAGAAATGGGACAATGAGCATGGAAAAGGATTTAAAGGTAAGGCCACTTTTTACTTTCACCAGCAAAACTGACTTAACAAGGCATTTCTCTCTTATTTACACACACACACACACACACACACACACACACACACACACCACCACCCTACCCTACTT